ATGTTTGTGCGTGATCGGAGTCATACGCAGTTACACGGATCGTCGTACGTCCGCATTTTTCGCATCTTTTAACCGTTTTTAAATGAATATCGCAAGTGAACGAGCGTCGAGAGTGTCGAAGGATGATCGCGCGACTTTTATAGTGTGTCGATGGAAACGCGCGACAGCGATTTTTAACGATATTCAGTAATGGCGTCATTGCGAAGATGGAGCGAAGTTGCGTCGCGTTATTCGCGCCCTTGATGATGATTATCGGATGCGAGCGAATATCGGGAGTGCCGAATAAAATGTCGCGCGTTCGCGTTGATGATATCGTGTGGATTTGTGTGCATCAAGATCGGAATAGGACGTCCCGAGGCGAGCGAACTTTTCCGAGGAGGAGCGGCCTGTGGAACAGCCGGTGAGTAGATTTGATTTATCACATTTGCGTGATAATTTGTGCTCATTCGACGCTTATACAGCATCGCGATGTCCCGAATTACATTCGGACAAATCGGCATCATAATTCGATTCGGTGCAATTCAAATAAAGTCGATCGCGTGAAGATGGTTATGATAGAAGCGATTTCAAATTTATTTTGTACGTGCGCGCAGTGCTGCACAGCCTATCTCGTAGGGCTGCCAACAGTTAAACGATAAATTTGTTTGATCTAACCTAACCTAACCTAACCTAATCTCTCAGTGTCTTTGGATATCGAATGTAAACATAAGCGTATGCTCCCTGGATTTTATCATGCTTTCAAAAATAATATTTAATTATTTCATTAGTGTATTACATTTCATTACGTAGTATATTAATCGTATTAAATGTGCGACGTACAGTTTTACACATTTTAATGAGGAGCATATAATATAATTGGTTAGGTTAGATTAAATTAAAACAAGCTGCTGTGATTCATTTAACGTAATAGGATTAATTTGACGAATGTGCAGCTATTGAAGTTACATGATATTTGTGGACACATTTTTAAAGTAATCATGAGTGTCTTATCACATCTCGATTACATGAAATTAAAATATAAAATATTTATGTATTCCACATTAACGTTATTCATTACAAGTACTATATTACTACATTACAAGTACTTTTCTTATATCTCAATCATATTCAACCATTTATTTCATCGATGAAATCGCAGACACTTTTCATATATCGCAGACAATATGATACTGCGTGTGGAATTTTACACAGGTAATACATGGCACAAAAATAATTTGCTCTCAAGTATTGTGTGCATTTCTCAAAAATAAATCAAATTAAATTATTTTCAGAATCCAAACATTGCTACATTGCCAGGATTGTATCTTATTATAACTGCGATATTATCACCTTTTAATATGTGTGCGCAGTATTACATACATAAAATATATAAATTTATTTGAAACGTACTGAAATCTTTATCTTATTTATAATATTCGTGATATTATAAAAGAAAATTGCAACTCTAATGAAACAGAGCGTTGGAATAATTGGTTGATACTTATGCTGGTCTACAATATTTACCTTTTTCCATTAGACTTTTGGTGCTTTTTTTATTATACAGATGTTATCTGTAAATATAGTACTCGTAATGTTGTTTCTGTATCACTGTAAGCATACAAAAATGATAGCATTTGCAGGTAATTATGTTATACTTATATATCGTAAGAAAGAGAAAATAAAATAAAAGTTGAATACTGAATGTGCTCTAAAGTAAATCTCATCTAAATAAATAAATGCATAAATGTGCGCTCCACATTTCTCATGAAAAAAATACATAATATTAATCTTTATGTATTATTTTTAGATTTATTTTTTATTCTTTTAAATTCTCTAGATGCACTTTTCATTTCTGCTCTCTTTCTTTCCAACTACTAAATATACTACTAATCTATCATTTTTAATATAGATCTGTCATTTTTAGTGTACATTATTGCAGTAAGTAGAATAAAGAGCAAATCTTTTGGCACATTTAAAATGTAAAGAAAAGAAAAGTCAGTTTTATCTGATGCGTTTTTTGCAATAGAAATATGTAAACAAATCTGAAAAAATTCATACATCTTTTTAAATCTTGTTCTTTCTAAATAAAAATTAGAATAATAAATTTGCAAAATAATTTGTTTTAATATATTTTTATTGCAAACATATGAAGCAAGTGCTCAAGGTGCATCACTATGAAAACATCGATAGAATAAAAAATAGATCGTATACGAAAAAATTATAAAAAATAGATCGTATACGAAAAAATTAAAATATTTACACTACATATTTGATATAGCATTTAATCGATATGTGCAGTAATACGATAAAATCTAATTTTCTCTCGAATTTTTTCACGAAATTTAGACTACTAAAAAAACATCATATATTCAAATTGTTCAATAGTCTTGCGAAAGAAGCAGTTCTCGCTTAAAGAATCTTTAGAAAAAAAAAGTACAAAAAATTCCAAAGAAAAAAAAGGACAAAAAATTTTAAATCTCACATGGATATTTAATTTTATACTAATATTTCTAATGTAACGCTTCATTTATAAAGATTTTATTTTGTGAAACGTTTATACATAAAAGTACAATGATTATACGGCTTCTTTATTCTATTGTTTCATCTTCGCGTGGTTTTTGTTTATAAAATATTTGTGCCTCTGGATATTTTTCTGTCAGAAAATGCAGTTTTCCATATTTCGCTAACAATTGTATTTTCGTTTCATCGGAGTTTCTCGTTCGTTCAAATCCAACATTCCAATTTTCTTTTGTAAGACGGAAGTTTAGTAAAGAATGGCAGTAATTTCTTCTTTTTCAACACCATTCTTTTATCCATTACATACTGCATAAAATCGAGAGACTCATTGACGGTACTTCTGGTTTTCTGATTTGCGCTGATGAAACAAGTACTACTGGATAATTCCCATCTTCTGATGTAACTTTGACTAAATGCTATCATTTTTCATCTGCAAATTGTTGATATTTCTGCAAATATTTCCATTATTTTGAGATTGATTTGTTTCATGATATATTGCAATAATTAAAGTATGATTACTGATATAATCTGCCATGAGACTACAGAGAAAGCCAGCTTTAATTCTTTATTTTGTTCAATATTTTTAATATAATTATTAAATTAAAGTTCTATGAAAATATGCTTGAAATACTAAATAAAAAAAGATTGTTTCTTATGTACAACCAAGTACAATATCAAGTTTAAGTAAACAAAAAATCATTGTTAATGAGATACATATATAAATTGATAATTAAATAAAACAATTAATTAATTAATCGACACAATTTACGTTTTTTTTAGCTTTATGTGTAACATTATATATATATATATATGTATATATATTTTTATAAATAAAAAAATGTTTCTTTCTAATATAAATTAAATAAAAAGTATAATATGCCTTTAAACCTTTTTACTTTATATTCACACCTATTTGTAATAAACCAACCAAAGAATGCTTTTACATTCCTCCTTGTACTTTGGCATATATATCTTTTATGCCAATTATCTCGCAACATGCTTTTATCGCATGATGACAAACAAGCCCACTATCCTTCATGAATTTTCTTTACAAATATATTTTTATATTCTTTTATATATTTTTATATTCTCAAACTGTGTAAAGAAATCATGTAACACTGAAAAATACAAAGTGATATTAAAAGAGAAGAAATAAATTTTATACTATATAGTACTGACAAGTATTTTCTTACCAGTGTGTTCCTTATATGTAGGAATATACATTAATCTTTGACCAGCCCTATTTTTAATCGTCTTTAGGGATGCTTTGGCTTTTCATAACGCAAATCCAGCCAATCCATTTCCATTCCCAGTTACTATAAATGAATTGATTCTAGTCTTACGTGCTAAATTACTGGTCATACAAGTTATCATTTTGTTTTCTAAAATCCAGGTTTCAAAACTTTCAAATGTATCTGCAGAAAACAAAGATATTAATTATATAAGATTCTAATATTTAGAACTGAAACATCAAAAAAAAAAAAAAATTGAAAATAGACATCATATCACATGATTTTTGTATGTATGTAATTTAACCATTATAATCCAATAATAGCATAAATATTAACCTTTTCCAATAAGATCTGATTCAATGCTTCTGCCATCCATTGTAACACTCCTCCAACCACATTCCAATGGCGATAATTTTATTTGCATTGGCCTGGTCTGACTTTGTGGTAATTCCATAAGTTTTTGCTTTCTTTCAAAATTTACAAGCAGTTTCAGCTGTTGAATTAATTCTTTTCCTCTAAACACAGAAGTGTTCAGACCAGGAAATTGTATTGGAATTTTTCCCATGTCAATAATTTGCTCCTTATTTAGGTCTCTCTTTTCACTACTCTTCTTGCTCTACCTCTGCGTCTTCCTGCATTACTGATACTTGTCACATCCTTTCATAATTCATGGTCCTATAGAACAAAAGCACAGTGAAATACAAACTATTTTCTACTGTAAATATAAACTATTATTAAAATGCTATATCTATAAAAGTTCTACTTACTATTCGCAAAGAACATAGAGTTTCTCACATTATTTAATAAAGTGACTATTTTTAATAAATGTGAATGACTGACAAGCAATAAATTAAACAATATTAAACAATAATATACCTGAAAAAAATTTCATAATTTTATTGGAGTTAAATTGATAAATTTATTTTAAATACACATTATATGTTAATTACATATAATAATTTAGAGACAATGATATATTTCATTTGCGTTACCATTGTTTATAGATTGAACATTTTTTATCAAATTATTTACAACTCTAAATATGTAACATACGACAAGCCATTTTTAAAATCTATAAAACATACAACAAAGTTGTTCATAGTTTTCACTCTTTTTTGTCATAGTCTGCTTTTAGGCGATCTTAAAGTCACTAGATTAACAAAGTATCCGGCTTTAGGTTATCCCTGAAAGGACGATGCGTCCTCTATAAACATAAAAATATGAACTTAAGGTGCAATTTCATTGACGCTAAAAAGTAGCGTCAATGAAATTGCACCTTAACTTTTATTTTTCCCATATCATATGATATAAGATTTGGAAGAGATAAATTCCAAATAATAAAAGTGCGATGGATACACGAAAGAGAAATAATAAGTATGTTGTTGGTCATCGTAACAATTATAAGAGACGTAAACAATTGGTATTAGAACCGGGTATGACAGGATTCTTATGCACATGTAATTTTCACGAAAAAGATTGCATCACCGACGCCTACAAATTGCTTAACCTGTTTGCAGATGAGGAATCAGACATAAATAAGGTATTTAGGAATACTTAAGTTAGATATATAGCTGGAAAAATATACAAGATTTGAAAACACAACATGTGTATTCATAAATGTTTATTACAATTTTTTTTTATTTGAAGGAGTCTGAAATATCAAGCACAACGAATACACTTGATAAAAAAGAGACTAATAAATCTTCAAAAAATAAAGATGAAGATGAAGATATATCTACTGCTCTGGAGAAAGAAATCAATGAACTTAGAACAGAACATGAAATGCCGCTATCTTCTCGAAAATTTCAAGTATGTTTTTAATGTCACAATAATAATTATAATGACACCAGACAATAGCTTGACATTACATTAACAAAATCTTTTTTCTCTTAGAAACCAATATATATTTAATATTACTATTTTCTATAGGTAGTAGACACAGGTGCCAAAAATGTAATTTTTATAGCAAGTACCATACCAAATCCATTAGAGCTAGTCACTAAAATTCTTACCAAGTTGGATGCAACTAAGGAACAATATACTAGATATCTATTAAGATTACTTCCAATAGAAGTTATATGCAAAGCATATATAGATGACATAAAAACAAAAGCGAGTGTATTATTCGAAAAATATTTTGCTCAAGAACCTAAGACATTTAGCATAGTGCTTAAGTAAGTTATGATAGTATTTTATAAAAATTTGCATTTCTTTCTTATTTATAAAATATTTATCTTCTAGTCGTCGTAATAATAACAGCATTAAAAGAGATGAAGTTATTCAAAACTTAGCAGAAATAATTCTAAGAAAAAATCCAGGCAACAAAGCAGACTTGAAGAATCCAGAGATAGCCGTGGTTGTAGAAATTATTTGTGGAATCTGCTTATTTTCTATTGCTCCAAATTATTATAAATTTAAGAAATATAATCTTCATGAAATATGCAATAGTACAAAGGAAAAGGTAAGAATACTTTTATTAAATTTACTTATGTAAGAATTTATTATTAAAAATTATATAATATTATTAACAACAAATTTCTGATATATTATGAAAAATGTATTTAATAAATATTTAGATAATTTCCAATAAAGAAGCAACAAAAATAATAAATGAAAAAAATGAAGGAGATTTAGATACAGTTATATCAAGTACGCAAGAAGTGGAAAAATCTACTGACAAAAGTTTGAATACTTTGGAAATGGAAAGAAAAGAACAAACAAATTAAATTTAATGCTTAAAATAAACCTGTGATACATGTATAAAATACATATATATTTATAATTACTGTGTGTGCATTTGTTTTATACTTCATAAAGATGTATAAACTATTTGTAAATAAACATTACACATATAATGAGATACTTTTTGTATATTCTCTAATGTATTTTTATTAGAATTATTAGTAATATTAATATATATGTATATATATAAATTATGTTAATGTGTGTGAATGTTTAAATATAAATAATATTATTTGTGAGAATTTCGCATAAAATTATACGATTTTTTCAATGTAATATCTTGCTCTAAAAATATTATTTTAATAGGAAAATATATATATATTTTTTTTAAATTATAAAATTAATGAACAATGCTTGTAGATATTGTACATTAATTGATTAAATAAAATAATGAATACGAAAGACACACTTTCAAGGAAGGTCCCATGGTGTAATGGTTAGCACTCTGGACTCTGAATCCAGCGATCCGAGTTCAAATCTCGGTGGGACCTTAATTTTACATCATATACAATTTTTTAATTTTTTTTAATGTTGATATATAAAATTATATTTTTTTAAATTTAAATATATATATTATTGCATATGCATATATATTTCGATAAAACTATTAATAAATTAAAATTAAGGATGTAGAATATAGAGAGAAGGCACTAATATTAGTTATTTTGTTTAGATCTTTTACAAATCTTTTTCTCTCTTTCTAAAAACGAATATAAATCGAGGGACATATCCCCAATTTTTATGAAAAATAAGATATTACCTAAAAAATGAGATATTAAAAAATATTTAATTTTTTAAATGAACAATGAGATATTAGTATTTCTGATGTCTTTTCTTATCAAAAACGTAACAATTATATTCCTATAAAATTTGAACTTTAAAACGTTTTCTTCGTTTCTGTAAAATTGCGTTTTCGTTTTACGCCTTTATGTTAACGCCTGTGATGTTATTTTCGATATATAACGATATATACATATTTAACGAAATATTAAATAATAAATAATTTATTAATATATTGTTAATTATTTAATAATAAAGAATACATATTGTATTTTAATCGATAATAATGTAATAGCAAAGAAATGTCGTATTAACATTTATTATGAAACATTATACATTAACATTTGATATAATATTTCGCTGCATGTTTAGATATTCATTGTAATATATGGATATATATATATATATATATATATATATATATATATGTACGTATATGTGTTCTAATTATTATGATTATTATTAATAATATTACACTAATATTTTATCAATAGATACAAATTGTGAAAAGCTTTGATAGAATATGTAAAATTGACTTTATAAAGAACTTGTTGAAAAAATAAAAAGAATAATAAAGAAAAACTACATAAAGATTAGAAATATTATAAGAAAATGTTGAGAAAATATTCCCAAAAAATCAAATTATATTTCAAATATTTATACTGTTTGTTACATATTATTTAAAAATTACTATACATTATACATATATCATCATTTTTTAATAATATTTACTTACATGCGCTTGTAATATTATAACCACGACAGTCACGATAGAAGCAGAGAACTAAAAAACAGTTAAATTTTATATAACAGTTAATTTTTATATTTTTATATTATGAATTTAATCATTTATAATAAATAATTATATTATAGTATACTCCATAAAGGAATTTGAAGCCAAATTGAAAAAGTCCAATTCCATAGAATCTGAACGGCAATTGGGTTACTTGCAATAGTATCTGTAAAATCTATATTATTAAAATGTATTATTTAATGTATATATTTTCATGTTTTCTATATTTGCTTAAATTTAAATAAAGATTTATTTTCATTATTTTCAAAACGCACATAATAATAAGATTTACATTTTCACGAACTTCAACATCATAAGTAGAATATGATATCCTATTTATAAAACTTCCTATTGTATTTGCCTAAAATTAAAATATAAATATAAAATACTAATTATAGTGTTGAATACTGATTTGGCAGTATAATTTTAATATTTCTTAATAGTTAAACATATAATGAATACGTACATATATACTACATCAAATTCAACACACACACACACATACATATATGTATATCGCGAAATTGAATATAAAAGTGATACCTTAAAGCTGACTCTCTCACATATACAATTAATGAGAAAAACTTGGAAAGCGTATATAATATTCCAGAATGAGATTACGGCATAGAACTCTATTTTTTTATTAACATAATTTTTGATCAGTATCATGCTAAATAATATTCGAAGAATTGATGCTATAAGTCCGAAATACAATCCCATTTTGAAAGTCAGCTGCATTCCAAATATTGAATCTATTTCGCGAAATATTTTACGTAATTCCAAATGAAGATGTCTGTATAAATAGCAGTAGTAAATAATTTGCTGCACAGATTCGTTGCATTTAATTTATGCGAATTCTTACATCACTATCCACGTCATATGCTTGTTGCTTAAAGTCTTTAAATGTTTGCGTTGACGCGAATGTAATACGTCTTCCCAAGTCTGTTTTTTTCCACATATATTAGTCAGTTTTCGAAGATTTTCATTAATTTGATCAAATTTTAATCCGATATATCTATATATAATTAAAATTAATGAGTAATGATATTATTATTATGAGATATATACCGATACATTATATTGTATTTTTTTTAACATATCTCGAAAAGATTTAAATTTTTATACGTAAAATAAATTAATATTTTGATAATATAAGTTTTTTATGAATTATTAGATATGGCTAAATTTATGTGTGTATGTATTATGTGTATGTACCAACCCAAGTATATTGACAATAATCAAATCGTTAATGAAGTTAATGTAAGAGCAATAAATCATTGAAATAGCAATACATAAAGCTATTACAATATTATAATTATATTCATTTCTCATCCATGTAATTTCTGTATAGGTCATTAGTATGACTATCACGGACCATCCAAAAATAAACCATATTATTCTCGTATGCAATTTTTGATAAGCTGTCGTTGTTCCCAGTTGTTCTAGAGTATCATCGACTATAGCGATCTTCTCTAGACATTTTATAAATCTCTGTCATAAAAGGATATATAATTAAAATTTATTTGACAACTTTATATCTAATAGCTATAATACTATTTTTAAAGAAATTTTTAAAGAAATAAATATTATGTTACTTTTATATTTTTAATTTTAAAAGAAATAATTTTTTAGGGATATATAGCAAAAAGAAACTTGCAAATAATTTATGCTTGCATATATATCAAAATATTGAAATATATCAAGATATTGAGAATTTTATATCATTATGATAATTTTATTTAAAGGTAAACATTCAGTTTATTCGAACACTATCAAAATTATTTATTAAAAATATGTATAGTGTGTCATATACGAATATTTACTTACTTTATTATAATGCACTCCGAAGATGACTGACATTAACGAAATAAAATTATTTAGATAAAAGAAAATGATAAAGTCAACATTATATTTGTGTATATAAGATAATACTGTATGTAAGAGGAAGAAATAAATCGACCACACTAACAATACATATAGTAGGCAAAACCGTGCTTTCCAACGATTTGTCGAAAACTCGACGATCCTTAAACCAGACACAAAACTAATTAAAAAGAGCGGTGTTAAAATAGTTCGAATATTACTGGTCATTGTACGCATTATTTCGAGTCCGAACTATATTTCGTTCGCCGAATGAATGGCTGCGTCTCATCAGATGGTGGCGATAATGGATACTTATAATTTCAATACACTTATGATTATTAAAATAATCGATTTGTTGGAGTTTACGCGGTTACCGCGATATATTTAAGTAGGTCAGAAGATGAATATGGCATTTATTTTTATGAAACATAATACAGATATGAACATTATTCTTAGTACATTTTTTTTATTGTTTTATCTTAAACATATATTTCTATATTCATATTTAATGATATAACATATATTAAAAAATATTTTCAAGATTTTTAATAAAAGAAGTATCGACTTTAATATCAATTATAAATAAAATAATTAGAAAATATAAAAAATGATTATAAAACTGTGTTTTTGTTGTAGTTGTAGAAATGATATTATTCGATTAAGTAAGTAAAGTTGATTTTACACACAAAATATTTTTTATGAAAAAAAGATAAAGCGGAGAAATAAAATCGATATAAAATTAAAATAAATAATATTAATCTTTCATTTTGCAACATTTTCTCTAACGAGATGACTATTAGAGAGATATTAATTTCTGCAGACCGCACGTAAAAGATGGTCAGTAATGTAATATAATAATAAAATGTAATAACTGAAAAGAAAATTACTAATTGATGCTTTTAATTTTTATTTTTGTTCTTATATTATGACATAGTATCATTACATTATTTAAAACAGGTAAGAATGAGATAATAATATTTTAATTTATTATAATTAATATCAGCCTGACAATATAGTAATAAAATAATGTGATTATAAAAGAAAGAATAAAAAAGATAAAGGAAGAAAGAGAAAGAGAGAGAGGGGAGGAGAAAAAAAGACAGACAGAGGAAGAATTATATTTTTCTTCCTCTCTCTCGAGGGAGAACATAATATAAGAAACAATTTTAATGCATATTTCTTTTTAATACAATAGTGAAATATAACATAACATTTCTCTAAAAACCGTGTTTTATATGCAAGATATTATATTCAACTATTTAATGTCTGTTTCAATTGTATGAAATATTTAAAAAAATATATAATTAAGTTCTTTCTTAAGTTGATTGTCATTTATACTATCATTTTTTTAAGATGTCTGCCTATTTATGCGCATGTATTATTAAAATTAAAACAGTTTTAATAGACGATTTAAATTTAAAGACATTAATTTTTTCGTTAAAAAATAATTTAGCATAGATTTTATTCTTCAATAAATATTATATAATTACTTAAATTACATGTGATACATACATATAAAATAACTTATTTATGGTTTTTGAAAAAATTTAAAATTTACTTTGAAGATTGAAAGTTTAATAATATACATATATTCAAGCTTTCTTAATCAAATGACTTATTTTGTATAAATGTCAGAAATATATTTAGATTAGGTTACATCATGTTACATAATCATG